AATCAGAAACAGAAACAGAAAAAAAGCGAAACAATTCTGAAAACAATTGAGATTTAATTGCATTTTCTGACCTGAAAAGTAAGCCAAGAGCCAGAGCCTGTACTACTTTTTGTAGTCGAAGAGGAAATGCTCCATTCTGGAAATTCTGTTTTGGAAGCTTGGAGCGTGCTGTGTTGACCCAATAAATAACGCCCTTCCCCACCCCCTTCATTGCTCATTAAATGAGCCGCCCCACGTCAATGGCAGATGTTGCTGCTGGAATTTGAATAATGCCAAAAAGCCAAAGGGAAAATGCCCGTAGGAGAAATAATTTTCAATCTACGTGCGAATTAAAAACAGCCACCCCAGTGGGTGTTCAGTGGGTGGCTGGTGTGGTGGCTCTCAGTGTGATTCCTTTTTGCTTGCTCTCGCTTGCTGGGCGCCTAATTAAAACTCATTACCATAAGCATAAAACTTGAGCAAGCAAATTTCCACCGTGCCAAACCGTAGAAAAAGCACCGGCAGGCAGGCAGCGCAGGAGGGAAGATGTGGTAGAGGGAGACGGGGATAAATGGCAGACAGGAAATTTAAATCAATTCAAAAATGAAGCCAGATAGAGAGAGGGAGAGGGGGAGAGAGAGAGAGAGAGACAGAGTTTGGACAGGACTGGACAGGAGCTATGGGGTCGTTTAACCTTTTCTTTGGATAATGCAATTTCCTTGCCAGACGGCGGCATTTTCTGGTTTGTATACCCTGTACGGGATGAAACCAGGGGCATTTATAGTCCTGTCTATCCTAAGTTCCATCATAAAACTTCCAATTGGTGATGAAACAGGTCGAAGAGTATCACTTGGTCGAGCCCAATCCACTGTAGAATTCTGCCTTGCTTCTGTTTCTTTTTGGCTTCCACTTTTTGGGGTTGAATTTGCTTGAACTTTCCGCACTATCCCTCCGCTCACCGCCCCTCCTGCGTGGTGGACTGCTCTCGTGTCTCAGTCACCCCTGCAGCATAGTAAAAGTGAAAGCCACATGCGTGCAACGACCCCTTTTTTTTCATATGTATGCTCCGCTCCATCCCCTCTCTTCTCTCTACCGCTCTCACTCTCTCTCTCGCCCTCGCTCTCTGCTCCTTTGGCAGCAGGCAGGCTATCTTTCCGCTTGACACTCTCTCTATCTATCACATCCACCCCACTCTCTCTCTCTCTCGCTCACTTTTGTCTGGCTATTCATTTTCCCTTTTGCACTGTTAGCTGTTGTTGTTGTTGCTGTTGTTCCTTTCCCCGTCGAAAACTTTTCGACCACGTGTGCAACAGTTTTGCCTTCGTCCTGCTGATGGCTTCTGTGCGCCTGTTACAGTGCCGGCTCGCATTTTTGTGCCAGGCCAAAAAGGACGAAGCGATGAGTGAGATTTTCTCTCACTTCCACCCCCACTCTCCCGTTGGTTCTATCTGGCTCTCTCTCTTTCGCTCGCTCTCTGCTTTGTAGTGTAGTGGCCATTGAAACTCAACTCAAAAGTTAAGTTTGCCATGCATTTGAATGGGGGTGGCGGGTGGTTGTTTGTTTGGGGCCCTTTCATGATATTGGAACCTCAGGATGGGAGGTGAATGAAGGAGAGGAAGCTTGAGTTTTAGTTTTTGGCGTTTGCTTTTGTCTCGCTGCAATTGTTGTTTGTTGCTGTTTCCACTTGCCGGTTCGGTTTCGGCTTGGGGTTCGCGTTCGGGTTCGGGCTCGGGTTAGGGGGCTTTTCACTCATTCACCAACTTTTTGATATGTTTGTCGTTGTGCGCCTCTTTATCTCCAAGTGGAGCACAAAGAGTGCCAGGATGGCGTCGAGGGGTTGGGAATGAGGTGGGGGGATACGGTGAATGCGTGAATATGCAGGCTAAAAAGTAGAAGTGGGGCATTTCCGGACGGAATGGTGCAGCGAAAATTCATACATGCATATACATATATGCGTATATATGCGGCATCCATCGAGAATGCATCAATGGGAAAAGCAATCAGTGCCAAGGAATAGTTTTTAATTACGGATACATATTGTACAAATTATCCTGAGCACGCATTCCCCCAAGGACCTAAGTGTACATGCCTTTAGTGTAAGCCATTTTCACTATCTTTCCATATTTACCCTAAGAAATCGTACCTAAAAATCGCAGCATAACACCGCTGGAGCAAAGTTTCAGTTGCTTTGTTTGCCACTTGGTGGTGGGGTGGCAGCTACTCGTAAGTTTCGGTGTCAAGCACCCTGTTGAGTGGCAGTTAGGGCAGCTTTTCACACTCGCTGAGAGTTCTCCTCCTGCATCTGTGCAGAGATATGCCGAAAGTTAGCCTTGCTACGCACTCTGGGCGCCCATCCCTTACTCACCCCAAAAGTCGGGCTCGGCTTCCTTCTGGCGGGTTCTTCCTTATCACGGCTGGATATTGACTGCGATACGCCTGCTAAACTTTCGCACCCTTTTAGGGCCCTCAGGGGTGGACGTGGACTCGTCCCCGTCTCGTCTCGTCTTGTCTCGCCTGTCTACGGGCGCCGCTGGGGCAATTGCTTCCTTTGTTGGTTGATCGTTACAGTAAATCATTTGAAATGAAATTTCACTGGCGCTTCCACTTCCATGGGCTGAGAGAGTTTTCCCGTTTCCGTTGCCATTGCCACCCCCCTGGAAACTACGGGTAAGTGGATTGCGCGTAGGAAACGGAAAACATGTGACCATCTCCCATGCCCTCCCGCTCCCGTCGCTCGTTTTGGGGTGGGTGGAAATTCCTGGGTGGTTTTTGGTTACTTTTTTGCTTGTGCCAGACAACGCTTAAGTTTTCTATTAGACAACAGGGCAGGGTGATTTTTTCAGCGTCAGCTAAAATAAAAAGGGAAACTGCCATATCCGTAAGTTGAGGTCATTTATTATACTCATGACACCTTCCTGGCATACAGCCTCCCCCTGTTCCCTTCCCCCCACTCACATTTCCCTCTGTCCTGCCGCCGCATGGCCACATTTTTTATCTGGAATCCCTCCTCTCGTCTCCCGCTTCGGTGTACCCATTGTTGTCTGCTGGCCCGAATTATGCATCAATTCATAAAAAAGGCTGGCAACAGTGCCGTTACTTTAATGCCGTTATGTTATTTTAACGTAGAGTTTTAGCCACGGTCTATCGATTGCAGCTAGGGATGGGAGAGCTGAGGCACGGAACGATTATGTGCGGTGGGGTTTATGGCGCTGTGTGGCATTTGAATCGATTCACCACAGGAGATTAGGACGAAGGAGTGATGGCACAAGGCCAAATCTTGGATCAAGGGATGTGATCGTTTTCAAATGCGAATTCTTATCGAAGCGAAATCCCATCTACATACATACGTATATACATATGTATGTATGTGCGCAGTACAGCTTAGTTTTTTTTTATTTTTATTTCTCTGCTGTTCTCCCTAGCTATTTCTTATTCATTTCAATTATGCTCCTTGTTCTCTGGCAATTCCGTTTCGCCATCATCTGTCGCGCATTTCCATCCCTCAGCCCCAAAGAAATCTGAGCTAAACATTGGCCATGCCGGTCACATAGCTGGGCCCAACGACCCCCGCGACAGACAATTAAAATGGGGACCACAAACTGTGAGCCAATTTAGATAAGCCCAAGGATATATGGAGAGCGCACCAGCACCAACCACACCAGGGCAGAGGACCCGGGACTGACTGCTGGCTGCTGGCTGCCCCTGCGCCACACTCCATTCATATCTTGTGCAACATAACAATTAGTAGAGACCATAAAACGAGGCAGTCAGTCGAGCAGAGCAAACGAGCAAACGGGTAGCATGTTGGGGAAATTATGGAGCCGGAATCGAGTTGAAGTTGAAGTTGTTTACATTCCTCATTCGAAAAATGTGCACTAAAGTATCTAAATTTACAGGAGAAATACAGAACAGAGCAGAACAGAGCAGAACACTACTCTGTACATTACACACTCCCGCAGATACTCGCATGTGCTGTGCCCTGCAGATGATGCATCTAACCTGGCAGCGGGCACTGGGAATTTATGACTACAGTTTGGAGTAAATACAAAACTCAAATTGAGAGCCGGAGAATACGAACTTCCAACTTGTTTGCCTTCAATTAGCGTGGAACTTTCGGCCTCCCCCTGCCTTGTCCGCCCGCTGGAGAATCATCTAAATAAACAGAAAACCGAACCAGCAGAAGCTATAAAAAACCCAGCCCCAGACGATAGTTGGGGGAAAGTACATACATACATATGTATGTAAGTATGTATGCATGTATATACATGGTCTCCAAAATGAATCCATCGGTGCATGGAACTAATGCATGTTTTCGTATAATTTCGTATCTCTCTCAAAAAATGTGTTAAATGTTTGCGTAAATAAAACAAGCGGAGAACAGGAATTCTTAAACAACATCTCCTACCGCCAGAGCCACGCCCGTATTCGTCTGGGTATTGGCTCTTGCCCCTTTCTTGGGTTCAGGTTCTGGATTGGGTTCGGGTTTGGGTTCGGGTTACTTGCATTTAGCTGGTAGCTATGCTTCGTTTGTTTTTTCCGCTTTTCCTGGGAAACGCTGTTAGCTGGTCAGGCTTTGGTTTTCGTTATTTGGTACTTGGTTACCATGTCAAGTGGCAGGTTACCCTGCCCCCTTCACTCGTCCCAGCCCACTCACCCCACTGCACCTCAGCCAATCCAAGCGTTCCTGGAATGTTGATATATACATATTTACCTTCAGTGGTGGCTGCCACCGATACACCGATACAACTGCAGCCGAGTGCGTCTCGGAACTGGTCCAACGCTCGTGCAAACAAATTGCATTTGTGGGGAAAAGATATTACAGATTTAACGGAGGAAACAGAAGCCAACGATGTGTGAAAAATGCCAGGGAACGCATAAAAGGAACCCTGGAAGAGATCTCTCTCTTTACTCTGGAATTTGTGTATATTGACTCTTTATTCTGATTGATTCTGAGTTTTTCACTATTTCTAAATATGAATAGACACAGTCTAATTGAATGCATTCTCTTTTCTTCCTGGCAGAACGCGTCCTGCGCTACTGCGAGTCCCCGTCGGTGGGAACCTGCTGCACCTACAACATGGAGACCCGCATGGCGATGCAGTCGCGCCAGCAGCTCGAGGGCCACACCAAGGAGCAGATCACGCGAATGTCGGGCATACTGGGCAGCAAGGCCGTCAAATTCAATGGTAAGTCATCGATGGTTACTCCCGTTTCGCTCAACGAGCCACTTGAAGATGACACAATCCCCGAACGGCATTGACAGCAATGATGGGGGAGAACGAGCCACCGATTAGAGATTCGAGATTCGAGTTTTCGGGTGTCAAGTGGTCGCTGCCACTGGCATGGCGATACATGGAACATTGTGCGGGCCTCGAGTTACAGAAAATTTCAAGTGGCAGACGACAATGCGGATGTTGTTGGGATCTCAATCTCAGCGGATGCAGCATGCAAGCGGTAGAGGCCAGAAATAAATATAAAATCGAATTCTAAACATTTAGTCGGGCGGATGTGCGCCATTTTTCCCACTCCCCAGGTTCCTGCGGTCTGTGGTCTGAGCATTTTTCTTTAATTTGATTTTCCTCTCTCTGTCCTCTGTCTTGCAGATATTTTCAGCGAATTGCTGGTGGAGTCAAAGGCCCAGTTCCACACGATGTTCATGCGTACCTACGGAGTGATCTACCAGCAGAATTCGTACGTCTTCTCGGATCTGTTCAAGGAGCTGGAGAACTACTTTGCCCGCGGCCGAGTCGATCTGATGGAGGTCATGGACAAGTTTTTCAACACGCTCTACCAGAAGATGTTCACCGTCCTGAACACCCAGTACGCCTTTGACGAGAAGTGAGTTTCCATGCCATCCATGCCATCCATCCATGCCATCCATGCCATCCATCCATGCCATCCATCCGTCCATTGTTGGGGGTAATCGAAACCAAATTTTAGAGACTTCTACAAAACAAAAACAAACGTGTGAAACCGCAAAGTGTCTCGGGCTGTCAACCGGCGACGACGACGACGGAACTTTAACATTGCCTCCTGTCTGGTGTGCAATTTCAGTTGACGTTTCAATATACTTTTACGCCCTACGCCCAACGCCCTGCGCCAGCTCTCTCTGCTTAAAGTCTCCTTTGTTTTCGTCTGAATTTGATTGCGGTTAATACGCTTAAAGCTTAGAGAAAACGAGTCCAAGACGAATGTGGAATACACTGGATGCGAGTGCGTATCGTTATTACATGACATCACAGATCCCTTCTACCTACAGTCTTCCCACTCTGAGGCATATAATATACGAGGTGGATAGCCTGCCCCAACCCACTACTCAGCGCAATCATCCTGGCATCCCCTGATGCCCCCTAGACCCACACATGTAGCCACAGTCCACAGCAGAGCTCCATCCGATCCGATCCGATCCGAACTGAAACCGCACTTTATGCCATGCCAGTTCCTGTTCCTCACTTGCTCGCATTTCCATTTCCTCAGGCACAAAAAAACATTGCACCCTCTTGGCTCATTGCCCTGGAACGGGTCGGGCTAGGGGTCGGGGCTACTCTGCTAACCAACGACTTGGCTTGGCTTGGAATTGTTCCGCGCGCCTGGCCAAATGACTTTTGGTGCTCGTCCAGCTCCAGCTCCAGCTTCTGCTCCAACTCCAGCCACAGGCAGGGCTCGTGTTACCCACGCGCTTTCCCATGCCAGCTCCGAGTCCCACTCTACTCTGCCTCTGACATTGCTGGCGATTCGCTTTTATTGTCATCGTTTTAGTTTGTCGTACGTGCTTTGGCACGTTGTCCGTTTACTGCCATTGGACGATGGCGATGGCAACGGCAACGGCAACGGCAAGAACCACAGGAATAGCGATGTCGAATAATTGCCGGCACTTGCCTGCCTGCCTGCCAGTCCCCTTTGCCTGCCCCTTTGGCTGCTTCTCGTCATTTGTTTGTTGTTGGGGTTTTTGTTTGCTCTGATCGCCCCCTGAATGGAGCGAGTCCCCTTTGGAGAGGAGGCACGGGCACTTAATGAGGGGGTAAGCTCAGCAGTTGGTTGGCACACACAGGGACAGCCAAATAGGGGTTTGGGTCAATGAAAGAGGGTGATATGGGGCAAGGGCTATGGGTAAGCAGCGGGTGTTTATGGACAACATAGTCTACTGTACGTTAGAGGCTATGGCTGAAGAGTAGACTGGACTCTCTGTTAGCACTCGCTGGCTTCCTATCAAGCAAACTCTTGGATCTGCCCTCCCATCTTGGGTGCCCTGCTGCGGCGGCTGCGGCTGCTGCTTGACTGATCTGTCACCATTGTGAATGCAGCTGGCAGTAATTTCTAAATTGTTTAGCCTAAGTAAAGGCATGCCACACTGCTGCTGCTTCGTGGTCTCCTCTTGACCATGGTGACAGGGCAGGGACACCGACAGTCAGATCCGAAGGCAGTAGGCAGAAGGCAGCCGTACAAGTGCATTGACTGTGTCATGTCTGATGGCCGATGGCCGAACCGTAGGACTAGACACAACACACACCACATTCGTATCCGGTCCTAGGTGCACCACATGATGAAGGGGCCAGAACAACAACAACAACAAAAACAGCACATGGCGAGCAACTATTTTTATGATTTTTCCGCATAAAACTTTGTGTTGTGTGGAGAGGAATGCGTGGGGAGGCGTTCAGCCATGCCATTTACAAGCGCAGATTTCCGCTAACAAGCAATGCAAATATTTTTCCTTTAATTCCATTTTTCCTCCGTAGGTACATGCGGTGCGTCAGCGAGCATATGAAGGAGCTGAAGCCATTTGGGGATGTGCCGGACAAGCTCTCCGTTCAGATCAAGCGATCCTTTGTGGCCACTCGCACCTACGGACAGGCCCTGGCCACGGCTGCCGAGGTGGCCAAGAAGGTGCTCAATGTGAGTATCCTGTATGCTGACCGGAAATGTCCAGGCAATCTAACGCAGAAGATGCATCTCTCTCCTGCCATAGATCCGACTCAATGCCGACTGCACGGGCGCCCTGACCAAAATGCAACACTGCGGGGCCTGCAAGGGATACACGGAGAAGCCCTGCACCAACTACTGCGTGAACGTGATAAAGGGCTGCCTCCACTACCAGCACGAGTTCGACGGCGAGTGGGAGAACTTCGCCCTGGCCATGGACAAGGTGGCCGAGCGTCTACTGGGCTCCTTCAACATTGTCATGGTCGTGGAGCCCCTGAACATCAAGATATCCGAGGCCATCATGAACTTCCAGGTTGGTTCTCCTATACATACACACGTACATTCTCGTACATCGGAGATGTCGATGTCGATGTCGCGTAATAATTAGCATTAGCATAAGCCAATGAATGGCAGTTTGCAACTCGTTTTTGGCCAAAGCAGCTGCCGATTCGCTTTAAGACGCTTCGTAGTGGGACTTTAAATTATGCTCGCATAAAACTGTCATGGTCTCGGATAGGTTTATGGGCGCGCATCTTAAACGAGACCCCAACCCAGCCGATGAAGTGTTTCTGGGGGAAACCCGTGCGAGATGGAAGCAATTGGCTTGGGGGAAAGGAAATATACAAACAAACGAGTATTCTAAATGGAATTTATGCTTCATTAAACTCGTATTCCGGTAATGAGTTTAGTTCGGAGGTTGGCAGTGGTCATACGTACGAAAATTCTGACAGTATCTTAAACACAAAAGTCTTTTTCCTGCTCAGTGAGAGTACTGAGAGTCCGCAGTCAGCTGCTCCTTCTAAAATAGGAAACGATTTGGTTCATTCCGATTCATCTACAATATACTGGCATTTAGGGCGGATCGAATATATATATGTAACGTCAATACTATATGAACACCCAACGGGCTGGGCAAAGATTCCTTCTGGCTGCCACATGCAGTCGAGGGTAAAAACAAATACTACGAGTACGCATGGCATTTACACAGAAATCAGAGGAATAGTTCACAGATGGATGGCCATAAGTTATTGAATTTTGATTACTGCCATATTTTAGCCCTCCCTCCAGTCCGCTCGTCCTCTCTGGCCAGATGATGTTTTGTGGCTTGTGTGCCAGTTGAGCGATTTATTTAAACAACATTTGGCCCGCATATGAATTTAATTTTTATTTCCATCTAAAATTTAAACATTTATCGCCGCTTCTCTCCTTATTTTTCTACTTTTTTTCGCTGCCTTTTGTTGTTTGTATTCACAATACTCGTACTTTTGTTGTTGTTCGGCATTCTGCTTTTAATGTGTTTACTTTTGGCAGTATGTATTTGTTTTATTATACATACGCACATACGTACAAATATATGTATATATGTATGTTGTTGCCCGTAAATGGCTATTTTGGCAAAATGCGAAATAGTTTTTAATTTTATTTTAATTTTAATTCTTATTCGTTTTCTGATGCTGTCTCCGGCGGTTGCCTTATTTGAAGTTGGCTGAAGCCGCTTTTGATGATTGCAATCTCGCTCGGCATGGCTCTCTACAGCTATGATTTGTTCGAGTCTAAGAAGAACGGGAAATCTAACATTTACCACTTGACCCAACGTGACCCAACCCGACCCAACCTCTTCCATTGCGATCACATATGTACATATATCAGCTGTAAATGGCTGATGGATGGGTAACGTATCCCAGTAAGATAAAGAGAAGTGGACTTCTTGATAAGACGGTCGGACAGGCAAAGGTACGACTCTGTCCGGAGGTCTCTGATCGCTCGAGTGGCTCTTAACGAGTAGCTGGTGGAAGTCAATTCTTATCTGTGGCGTGGGCTAATAAAACCTATTAATAGCCATTTGGAAGCTATTTTCTGAGGGGTGTGAATGGAATTGATTCCAAGTGTAAATTGGGAATTTAATGCCATCAAATCTAATCTTGAACTTCCCTTTTTGCTGCAGGATTCTGGCCAAGACATCACCAACCGCGTGTTCCAGGGCTGCGGCAGACCCACTCTAAGGCGAGCCAAGCGCTCCGCTCACCCCAAGCTTCAGGCAGTCCAAGAACTCCATGTGGAGAGCCCCGCCGAGGCGGACACCCTGGACATAGACGCCACGCTGGATGAGGCGATTGTGCTGAGAGAGCGGAGAGCTGCAGAGCCCGGCTCCCAGGAAAGCTCCGCCCCACCGCAGTCCCAGTCCCAGGAGCAGGGCGTGGGCGGGGGCGGGGGCAAGAATGGTGGAAACGGGGGCGGTGGCAACCATCGTCGCCAACAGCAGCGTCGGAAGCAGCAACAGCAGCAGCGAAGGAAGCAGCAGAACAACCGCAACGACAACGACAACGACGACGATGAGAACGAGAGGGGAGGCGGTGGACGCGAACCGATACTGGACAGGATCGTGCGGGACATACGGCAGCGGGTTAAGGACTACAAGAAGTTCTGGTCGAATCTGCCGCACTCCATATGCAGCAATGAGGACATAGCTGCCAGCTCCGATGTGGATGTTCTGTGCTGGAATGGACACACCATCGATAGGTGCGAAAACAGATGATTGCAGTACGCGTATTGCTAGAGTTTTATTCAACACCTTTTACCCCTGCAGGTACATGCATTCGATCACCACGGAGCACGGCTCCAACCCGGAGTTCAGTGGCAACCCAGCCAACACCCGACAAACGGCTCAGATGTCCTCGCAGCTGTTCCTTCTGAAGAACGCCGTCAGCCACCTGCGCAACGCCTACAACGGTCAGGATGTGGAGTGGAGTGAGCAGGGTAGGTCAACTGAAATTTCAATAGGTCACGCCCACTGATTCCATTCGTTTTTTTTTTTTTTTTTTTTTGTGCAGAAGAGCCGTATTTGGGCAGTGGAGCTGGTTCGGGATCCGGTTCGGAGGATGACGAGGACGACGACGAAGGCTCTGGCCTGGGTCCTTTCGAGCCGAGCCACAAACCTGACGTGGACCGACCCTCGGTGGATGCCGACAACGACGACGACGAGGACGGCCATCCTCAGATTCCCACACACACTTCCCGGCCAAATGTGGACGACAAAAATCCCATGGTCCACCCTACGCACTTCGACCATAACGATCTCGACGAGGATCAGCATGGCGAGGGAGATGACGAGGACGAGGAGCTGGAGGGAGCCCGGGGTGATGGCGATTCCAATGCCGATGGCGATGCCACTCGCTCGTCCAGTGCACCAGAGAAGATGACGCTACGTCGCGCTCTGGTTGTCTACTTGCTGCCCCTCTATATGGCGTGGTTCGGCGGCGTCTGCGCCGATTTGCTGTGATTATTCAATGTGCGACCTCGCAACCTGGAGCTCCCGCCTCCCGCCCCCACACCTCTCAGTCATTCATCCGTGAAACAAAAGAAAACGTTATTAGGAGAACTACACTTTATATACGAAATGCGAGTCCAAAATTTTATAAAAACTTTTGATGGATGGCAATCAAAATGCAATCAATCGGGATAGGATTAGGTGTAAGCGTGCCAGCCTAGGAGGATAAGAATTTAGAGGAGGAGAGAGAATACGTAACGATCCCCCATCATATAGTTCAGTAAGAGGCCCCCCTCCCACTCCCCCTGCCTAGGTCTAAGTGCGAAATTCTAATTTATAAGTGAAACGAGAGAGCGCGCGAGTGTGCGAATGAGTTGAGTAAGTGAAAGCGAACGTGAATGAATGCGAGTGCGAATGTGAGTGAGTGCCTGTTCAATGTGATCGTGATCGTTTAGCAAAAATTAAACATAAACACTGTAGCCCCTAGAGACCTAAGCGACAAGCACACACCTACACACCTATTTATAATTTGTATTATATTTATGCATATAGAGCACAGCACACACCTCTGTCTCAGAATGAAATCCATTAACCCGAACAAGAAAAGCAATAACTACATAATGACCCCCAACCTGAGTTAACCCTTAGTTGACTTATCGTGTGGCCATAGAAAAGGGTCTGTCCCCTCATTTGTGTCGTTCACAGACACATTTGCCAGAAAACAAACGCATTTCAACTAAACACCCTTCGTAAGCCTAAATATTTATTCTTATTTTTGATTTTGAATATTAAAAAGAAAAGAAAAAATACAAATACAAAAAGTAACAATCAAAATGTAGCTAGTTTTTATGTAAAGTGGAAAATGGACAATTTTAATATTGAATCAACTGTATTGGATCGGGCCGGTAAGTTGTCTTACGAAGCTTACAAAGCTTACGAAGGGATTTCGATTGGTCCGCCTGTTACTCGTGCACCATTACCATTATGAAAGGCAAAACAATTTTCTACAATGTACTTGGCGCCTTTTTTTTAGCGGGTCCCACTTGGGAAACGGTTTTAAACGCTCAATGCTAATTTAATTTACCTATATCGATTCTGAGCGATATGTTTGACTTTGTCTTTTCTTTTACTAAATACTGTTATTGTCTTTTCAACGTTATTTTGGATCCTGTAACCGAAATAATCTCCTTACCAATGATCATATGTTAAATGTATAATTTCAATTAGTTTTTTCCATTTAAAAAGGCTAATTTCCCCAATTGTATTTTATTGTATTTTATTTACAGTTTTACTTCAAGTTTGTCTTGAAATTTGGCGGTTTATTTTCAAATAAACTAATTGACTCGATTATATAACTATCGATAAATTTCAGGGAGGTATTTCCGCAATCGAGTACGGCAGCGCTACATATATGTTTACAGGGGCGCACGCTGTGGCAGAATTAAGTACTGTTAGGCGCGAACACAGCCGTACTTAACAGTAAAATAACATATTTTCTTCTTCTATTTCTTCCTATTAGAAATTTCAAATGGCGAGTAGCGCCTCTAGCGGACTTGAACCAAGAAGTATGTTAAATAATTTATTAAACAATAAAACCAGTTGTTTGGATGATTATCTAATATATTTAATATAATAAGGAGCATTTATAATTATCGTGTAATATAATGGCAATAATACGAATCACATAGTATAATTTTTTGGCTTTTGGTCCGTCCTCAAAAAGTAGCCGATTCTCGTTGCATGCGAATGGTCCTCAAAAAGTAGCCGATTCTCGTTGCATGCGAATGGTCCTCAAAAAGTAGCCGATTTTCGTTGCATGCGAATGGTCCTCGAAACCGATTGTTTATCGCATACGAATTGTTTAAGTTTATTTCGAAACAAACGAAACAAACAAACAAAAACGGAGAAGCGTCAAAACCAGAAACGTAAAATATATAAATAAAATTTAATGACGAACGAAAAAAGAATACAAACGAGAAGGAACGTGCGAGTCGCTTCTGGGGACGCGACTCTACTTATACCCGTACTCAGTCAGTATATACATTTTTGATCTTATGATTTTTTAGAATTTTAGAAAAAAAAAAATTTTACATTTTACATTTTTTTGCTACATCTGATATCTACATCTACATCTACAATGTATATTCTACATCTAACATGTAGATTGTACAATGTACATGCTTCTACATCTCCTCCGCTAGGGGTTGCTCGCGCACTGAACGCGGCAGAGTGTGCGAGCGAGAAGGAAAATGAGTTTCGTTGTCGTCGTGGGGGGGGGGGAGGGGAAGCAACTGAAAATTAATTTCTTCATTCTGGCTATAATTATGATCCGATCTGATTCAGATTCGGCAGTCTGGTAGGTATGGGCATTCTCTACGATACTGCGTTTTTAGTTTTATCGTATCTTTAAAAATGTGCCTGCCACAGATTTTCGTCCTTTGTGGGGGCGGAAGGGGGCGGGGCGAAATTTTGAAATACACTTGTAGCAGTGTGATATCACATGAGTGTGGAAACCAAATTTGGTTGCCCTAGCTCTTATAGTCTCTGAGATTAGGGCGCTCAACAAGACGGACAGACAGACAGACGGACAGACGGACAGACGGACAGACAGACATGGCTCTATCGACTCGGCTATTGATGCTGATCAAGAATATATATACTTTATGGGGTCGGAAACGTTTCCTTCTCTGCGTTACACACATCCACTTTTACCACAAATCTAATATACCCCTTAACTCTTTTTTGAGTACGGGTATAAAAAAGAAAGTTTTAGCTATTTCCCATACCAGGAATCAAAGACCTCTGAAAATAAATAAAATTTATTTATAAAGCAGAGAATAAAACGTAAAACACTTACCGTGACTCCAAAGCATGTATATATATGAAGCATAGCTTTATTATAAGCTTTTGTGCAAATCGTGCTGGAAGGGAGTGTCGACCATTATTTGAATGAGACGCTTGAAATGAAAAGCAAGGACATCGCCCCGAACTTCCAGGTCATCGTTCTTGCAGCCATTTAAGCGTAGGGTCTTGTCTGGGAAGTTGGAGAAGTAGTTTTCACAAATCTTCTCCAGCTGCGACAGCTCCTGTAGCAAAAGCTGGCTATGGGTATTACCCACGAACTTGACCCTTTTCGCCTCCATTGCTCCTCACCAATTTGTGTCCGTATACTCCATATCCTCGTACAATTGGTAGAGCGCCTGTTGGAAAATAAATAAGTTCATTAACAAGTTCAGACATAAATAAGTAAGTGAAAGTATTACCGACTCTAAATATCCATGTTTTCTTGCGAAATTATTTCGCATATGCGTAATGTCGTATACATTGTGCAGAAAAATTATTGGCTGGGTTGTAGTCCGTCACAAAAGTCAACAGGTACTTTTTGGCTGCCGGACACCTCACTTGTATGTGCAACAATACTCGTCTCAGGAACTTCAGAATTTCTGTGCCGTCAAGGGAGTCTTTACCTTTTGCTGCCTGTTGAATTAAAAACATATATGGGTAATACGATGGGATATTATTTTTACATACTTACCAGTCGCATTATTAAAGTCTTGTATTTACTCCCGTCAGCACAACGGGCAGCAATAACTAATATTTTTAAACTTTTCACCACACATTGCTGTAATGAAATATATGTGAACATAATATTTCTTCCATGACTGTTTGTATATACTTACAGCTTCTGTGAGCTCTGGCAGGTGCCACTCATCCAATAGTATATAGAACGGCTTATTAAAGCCGTCCAGGGCAAACAGATCCTCCAGGAAGAATCTCTCCAAGTGGGAGTTTTGCGTCTCTATCAAACTAATTGCCGCAGAAATTTCTTCCAGAGAAAAATCTGTACGGCTATTTATAAAATCTCTTAGGCTCCTCATTATAGAAAATGTAAATCGATATCGCGTAAAACGATAGGCAGATTCATGGGGGCTCGAAATTGGAGATGCCATTTTTGGGATTTATATTTTTATATTTTTTTTAATAAAATATCTTGAAATTAGCTCAATACTTCAGTTGTACATATTTTTTTGTTTTAATTTGATTTAATATCTTGATTCGTTTAGAATTTAAAAATTAGCAAGCTGAATGGCGACGTGACACGAAGAAAACACTGGCAACGCCAACGTGCCGCCATTTTACCGCAATGCAAATGGCCGCCATTTGAATTCGCACACACACGGAACGCAACACGGTCACCGGTATTATTAAAATATGGACGTTCTCAGCCTGCTATGCTTCACCACACCAATGGCCTCAGCAACGGCGCGAACGAGGTTGCAAACAATCCGTGCAAGCGTACCACTTTTTGAACTGACGCATGGGGTTGGGAGCAACGAGGTTCGCATGGCCAGGTTGGCTGAACAGTATGCAGAAAACGACGTAGCCTTCTGCGTTTCTGCGGAAAAAGACCGCAGCGGCAGCGGCAGTGGCGAAAGAAGACGTCGGAGGGCTAGCAATGCGCAATGCGCTAGAATCCGCAGCCTCCGACGAGCCCACGCCCACACACGCGCCAGAACCGCCAACCTCAGTGGCGAGACGGCAGCTTCTGCCCTTGGCCAGCTCCACACTCTCGTCGCCAAGGGCAAGGCTAAGTGTCGCACCAGAGCTGCCTGAAACGACCAACCCAAGCTTCATGGACACCACGCCTCGCTGCTCCACCAATGTTAACCGCAAGAAGGTAAAAACAAGGGAGCAGCTAGATATAATTAATCGAAAGAAGAGGGAGAAAAGGCTGGCGCGCCGGATGGGCGGAGTGGAGCAGCGGGCAAACCACCCCCAGTCCCAGAACAAACATTTGCGAGGAGTTGTGAACCTTGGCCCGATCCCCTTCCCGGACAACCGGATGGAAGGGGAGTGCACACGCCGGCTCTCTTCCGGGGCGTTGGAGTGGAGGGCACCGAAGGGGTGGGTAGCGCCACCCGGCTGGGAAAACCGAAGGCAGCTCGACAAAGATAAGTGCGAGCACTGCGGCACTTATCTGACGAATAAGCAGAGACCGGAGCACACACCGGTGTGCAAGGTGACGCCAAAGCCCTTTGTGTGTCCGACGTGCGGGTTCTGAGCAAAGACTTGCGAACGTTCCTGCAGCACAAGTGCGGAGCCCGAGAGGGGCAACAACCCATGTCCAAAATCGCGAAGGAGCCGGAGCCGGGGCCGCCAGTCTCTCTGGAGGCGCTCGAGGAAGCGGCACTCGCCGAGCTTGAATAATAACAAGCCAAGCAAAAGCTAGCCATTCAGGTGAGAGTAGTCCCCTAAAGAGCTGCAACATTACGCTGGTGGAAGGTATCCCAAATGACTGGGTACTCCTGTGCAGCCGACCTTAGGGCATATAAATCCGATTTATTGCGGTCGGACACAATGGCCATTAGATTTTTGGCCAGGCCCAGTTTGGAGATTTGCTTCAAAACGATCCCAAGAGCCGATTTTATTTTTTCCCTGCCAAGCTTGGATTTACGGTTTGCAGCTATATCAACATATACTGGTACCAGTTGAAATATATATTTGAATAATTTGTATTTATAAAAGCGAAATAATTCAACTTACCACTCGGATATATATGTACATAGGTCCAAGTAGATGGCAGCGAAGGCCAGCACCCTCAATTTAACTTTGCCCTGACCACTTGGTGTCCTTAGGCATGGCTGAAAATATTAAATAAATATATATATGTACATATATAAATGTCTGAATTGTACAAGTAATATTAAATAATTAAATATAAGACGGCCTCAGGCTTTTGACCGCTGCAATGTCCACGCAGGGTACGCCGACATTTGCCGCCACCGCTGCTGCGACATCCTCCTTTGTGACCAGGCTGTCAAGGTCTCTGATCTCCACACAGAGTTCCTCGGTCTCCGCCCTGATGCCGGATTGCATGCCCAGTGCCTCGCCGATGACCTCCTTGAGCTTCGCCGTGTTGCTCTTGCTCGCGCCATCTAGCTCAAGCAGCAGCTCGCCCTTTGCCGTCCTCCGGATCCTGTTTACGTTTTCGCCCACTTCCTGGAGCTTACCGTCCTGGCGCCTGGTGACCATTCGAAGAATGTCGCTATAGCTTAGCTCTCCCGGCTGGATTATGATCGCGTCCGGCCTCGGCTCGCGGGGACGAGGTTCCTTTTTCTTTCTCACCTTGGGGCCCACCTGTTGCCATTTGAGCTGCTTTTTCGCGGCTGGGGTGGCAGCACTGTCGCTCGGAGGTTGTCATCCCGACCTCATCCAGCGCTGGCAGCTCAAGCTGAGTCGTCGGTTGCTTCTGCTTGGTGCCTCGTTGCCTCTTTGTAGGCCCAAGGGCCGGCTGGGAAGACTCTCGTAGCCTCTTCGTTCCTGCTGGTGGCGGCTTCACGGATGTTTGGGTGCTCTTGGTGGCGGTTCGCAATCTCCCTTAGGTGCAGCTTGTCGAAGTTTTTGAGACTACGCCTGCAATGCAACGATTCTCAGCGCTAGATCCTTCATGGGGAAATCAACGTGGCGCTGGTCGTTCATCCTCTTGACCAAATCGTTCGCGCGCGTGCCTGGGGTTTTTAGGAGCTGCAGTGGGTCGGAATGCGAACGTTCAGCCTCCTTGCCATCGGTACCAAGGTGGAACATGCTCGATCCAGTTGCTTTCGCAGGTGCCGAAGGTGGTGGGGATCTGGCAAGTGCGCTGCGCTTACAAAGACTGCCTCTTCAGTCATGTTGTCAATCGGGGTGTGTGGTGTGGAAGTCATAGTGTGAGGGTCTCAACTCGGTGTTCGTTGGTCGCAGTGCGTAGTCACCATCGCATCGATCCCATGGGTGCCTTTCCGTGGAGTGAGGTCCATGCGAGGGTTGGCCCTGGGCCTTATGAGCACCAGGGTTCAGAGCCAGATCGGTGCTAATTGGGATATAAATCAACCAATCCTACGCATCCACCTAAATGGAACGACCAGCAAGCGTTTCCCGAGGCCTGCCAAGGTTTTAACGAGACGGGGGCAGTGAGGACATTAGCCTACGAGCCATTTCAGCAGCGGCTGGAGCCATGGTCAATGATGGCATCGGCGACAGCTTTGGCCAGTGATTGAGTGCATCTTCGATATGCCTGGCTACCAACTAATTATGACTGGATGGGACTCAACTTTTACAAAATTAACTGATCCGGTGCTATTTCACTGTCCCTCTGGCCTTCAATGACATAGTTATTTTGTATTAAAATAACTGCTGCACATAGTTTTCTTCTTCTTACTATTTCTAGTTTGCTCGTCATTTTGTATTATTGTTTACCTTTTCTGGGTTCTTCTTCTCCTCCTTTTTCTGTGTTGCAGTTTCCAGCACTGTCTGAGCAAGCTGTCCTGTTGTAGGAGTTTAAAAGTAAAAAAACAACAACAAGTCAAATATGCGGGAAACAACAATAAATGTTTAAATAAATAAATAAATATATGCATACATACCTAAATAGCCCCGCAAATCCCATAAACAAGTGTTGGCTGTACCACTAACCATTCAGTATATATGTAGATGTGCCAGTTCATACACCGAACGTGTCGCAGCTGAGATTTCTGTCCCAGGTCCCCAGGTTTTCGGCTGCTGGACCTGAGACGTTCGGGCATTTTTTCGACATGTTCGATTCATGACGAGATACGAAAGCAAGCCGAGAATTGCAAATGTATGTGTGTACACAGTAGAGTTGGGTTGCTCATGAGTGAGTGAACAAAAATGAGCTGTTTACTTCACTGAGTGAACTGAACATGTTCAATCAATTTTTGTTCAGTTGTTCACTTGTTCAGTTGTTCACTCAGTTGTTCACTTGTTCAGTTGTTCACTCACTTGTTCAGTTGTTCCCTGTTGACTCACTTGTTCAGTTGTTCCCTGTTCACTCACTTGTTCAGTTGTTCCCTGTTCAAGATTACTCTGCGATACACAAGACAAAATTACTTTTAGCCATATGACATTAGACTTGGACAATTTTGCTGCGTAGAGAGGGATAGCACTAGAGACAAAATGCAACATTATTGTTCGTAGCAGTCTCTAGAAACGTCTAATGGCTTTTAGTAGAACAACTAAGGCACTACTTGACACACAATGATGTTTTCCAGCAAAACACAGACACCAATTGTATAATTGTATCCGCAAAGTAAAATTTTTACGATAAATTCTGCCGCAGCGCTTCTCCCAGCTCAACTGGACAGCCAGCTTGACGCATATAGTTCTCTCGCTCTGACTGAAGGCATTTCCCATAAGGCCATCTTTATTTTTTCAGCTAGTCAGTTATCAAGTCTAATGTCATATGGCTATTTGCAGATGTTACACTTGGCCTTTTGGTCGTCCAAATGTTCAAAATGATCCCAAATCGAACTTAAACTGCGTTTTTGATACAAATTCTGTTCACTTAACGGCTAAATTTTTTATTTTTTATTAAATATTCCTACCGTATTGAAATACATGAATAAACTTTTTTTTTGCCTTTTCTTTTTCTTAATAAAATATTCTTACTTTTATGTATTGTTATCCACATACTTCTTTAATATTTGGGTGGGGTTTTGCTAAACATACTTATTCATACATATGTCTATGTATTTGATACGTAACAAAAAATAACTGGGGAAATTAACAAATGTTTGATAAACTCTGTGAACGCACTGGCGAACAGGGAACAACT